GACTGATAATCAGAAGGCTGGTGATTCAAACCCACCAGCCACTCTTCGGAAGGAAGATGGGACAATCTACTTCTGTAGTAACTCCACCTCGGAAAGCCAAGGAGGGGTGGCTGTGAGTCAGATCCGACTCGACGGCAGTGAGGTTTTTGTTTTTTTTTTAATAGCTCTTCATCTATGTTTATATATTTATATAGTTCTATCTCCCTCTTCATCTACTTCTATATTTGTTTTTGTATCTGAATCTGTGTCTGCATTTGTATTTCCAACTGTGTCTACAGCTACTATATCTATGTGGGAAAATATGATCATATGATTCATTCATAGAGTAGTGATCATACTATATATAAGGTTCTGTAACTTACTTCCCTAACCTACCAGATATTGTTTACATTGTTCATTTTTTATATAGATAGATAGATGTAACTGATCAATTCCTTCATTTCTATTGTATTTTATTACAGTTTTTTATTTAATTTTGATTAAACTATTTTTTCAAGCCCTTCTTCCATGGCATTATGAGTGTTCATTTACAAGTTTACGGCTCAATTTTATTTGTTTCTTAAGTGCACAACTCAAAGTATGTTCTAAGTCAATTATTTTAAGCATCATATTTTAATGTAAAATGTGTAATATAAGACAATTAGAAAACAAAAAAATACAAAGAATAATCCTAGTCAGGAGAAAACCACTGACAACTTTTTGGTGTGATACCTTATATTCTTTGTTCTATACACATATATTTTCAAAATTGAGATGAAGTTATGCATAAAATTTGAACTTTGCTTTTTTCATACATATTATAAAATAAACACATCCCCATTAATATAAAATCTTGTCTTAAGTGTAACTTTAATGGCTGCATAATATTCCATAATGATATTTTCAATATTATTGGGTATTTGGGCTATTCCCAATATAACTATTATAACAAAGCTGCTGGGAACATTTTTATACATGAAGCTCACTCTGATTTTTCAACTTTTATTTTAAGGATTAATTCATAATTATAGATTTTTAATGAATCCTATAAAACCATGCTCAGAAATGATGCATAATTTATTCTCATGTCAGTAGTGTATGAGAAAATATATCTCACTGTACTGACAATGGGATTGAGTATTTCCTTTCTAAAAAATCCCTACCATTTGAAAGGCCAACAATCATACTATATTGTAATTTTTGTTTTCATTTTTTGATTGCTATTGAGATTGAACATTTATTGGATATTTATGTTGTATCTTGTGAGGTAAAGGTAGCTACCAATTTGTTTAGTGTTTATCATATCTTAAGTCATTCTCACTTCAGCTCCAGGAGACAAGGATCACAGACAAAGGAAAAGAAACTCTGCCAAGGTAAATGGCAGTGGCAAGAATAAGCCCATTTTGGTTTTACTTTCCAAAACTGTGCTCTTGGCTATCGCATCTAAATGATCTCTGTTCAAGCCTTTGTTCATTTAGCTCCTGAAAATGCTATGTTATTCTCACCTATTTTTATTATTTACTGAATATAATACATATTTTCTCTCTCATAATGGTTTTAAGTATTAATCCAATATGTTTACCTTTAATGTTGTTGTTGTTATGTGCTGTTGAGTCGGACCCGACTCATAGTGACCCCTCCTTGGGTTTCCGAGGCAGTATTACTATGGAAGTAGATTGCTCAACCTTCCTTCTGAGGAGTGGCTGGTGGGTTTGAACCACCAGCCTTCTGGTTAGCAGTCAAGTGCCTTAGGCACTATGCTACCAGAGCTCTCTAAATAACTAATAGCTATATTCATGTTTTTCCCTTTGTGTTTTTTTCCATTGTTTACTCTTAGAAAATTCTCTTTAAACTAGGATCAGAGTATACTCATTTATGTTTACACACTTTATTTTAGTTTCTTCATTTCTAATGTTATTGTATCAACATTTTGCAGTTTTTGTGAGAATCAAATGAGTCAATACATGTAAAGGGCTTACAATGGAGTGTGACATATAGTAAATGTTATATGTGTCTGTGGCAATTGTGATTCCTATTGTCACTTCAGAGAGTCCTATTGGTGCAATGGTTAAGCACTGAGCTGCTAACTGAAAGGTTAATGGTTCTGCTCTGTGGGAGAAAACACCTGGTGATCTGCTCTTGCAAAGATTTCAGCCTAGGAATCCTTATGGGGCAATTCTACTCCGTCTATGGGGTTGCTATGAGTTGGAATTAACTTGATGGCATACAGGAATAAAAACATTATTACTTTTTTTTTCTTTGTCTTAAATGTCTTTATTTCACCTTCATTTTGTCTTCTCTAAAAACTTTTTATTTTGAAATTGTTATAGATTCATAGTAATTTTCAAACTAGTGTGCAGAGTACTCTCTTCACCCAATTTTCTCCAATGGTAATATCTTGCATAACTATTAAAAAAAAAAAAGTCAAACTTACTGCCATCAAGTCGATTCTAACTCATAGCTACCCCTATTGGGTTTCCGAGGAGGTAAATCTTTATGGAAGTAGATTGCCCCATCTTCCTTCACAAAATGGCTGGTGGGTTTGAACCGCCAATCTTCTGGTTAGCAGTCAAATGCCTTAGGCACTGTGCCACCAGAACTCCTTTTGTATAACTATAGTACAATATGAAGACTAGAAAATTGACATTGGCACAATCTACATACCTTACTTAGATTTCAACAATTTACATGCATTAATTTCTAAGTGTGTGCTTGGGTGTATGTATAGTTTTATGCAATTTTATGATATATCTAGATTTATGTAACAATTACTACAATCAAGTTACAGAACTGTTCCATCACTGTCTTAGGCTGAGTTCTCCAGAGAAGCATAACCAGTGTTTCTCCTGACTCACACAGCTGCAGGGGCTGACAAACTCAAGATTGGCAGGCAGTAGAGCAAGCTACTGGTTACTGAGGCCGATGAATCCAAGACTGGCAGGTGAAATGGCAGATTGTTGGCTCATAGACTAGAAGGCAACAATTGCAAGATCAGAAGGCAACATGACAGGTGACTGGTTCAAGTCCAGGATAATGACAGGCCAAATGCAGGATCCAATATGAGCAAAAAGCCAGTGGCCTAATCAAAAGCTTTTCCATATATACTGGTAGCAGGCCACACCCTTCAACTGATTGGCTGCTCACAGCAGATTCCATCATGGAGGTGATTACACCACATCTAATCTCATCACATCACAACTGCCAAGCCACTCAGAATCATGGCTCAGCCAAGCTGACACACAAAATTTACTACAATCACCATTAGATTTTTTTTTTTTAATTTTTATGTGATTTGGGTGAAAATTTACAGAGCAGATTCAGTTTCCTTACAGCAGTTCACATACACTTTGTCTCATGACATTGACCACAATTTCACAATTTACCACAATGCAACAGCTCCCTTCCTACCTCCTCCCAATAGTTAACTTCCCAGTGTCCATCCCTCCATGCACTCCTGACCCCTGAGCTGTCTCCCTGTGCATAAGCCCTTCTTTCTCCCATGCTTGTTCTCTCTGAGGAGTGTATCTACCTCAGGTAAATGTTCAGCTCCTATGCCTGTCTTTTGCTTGGCTGGAAGCCACAGGTGTGGGTTCAATTCTAGACCTGAAGGGCAGCCAGGGGCCATAGTCTCAGTGGTTCTACCAGGCTCCATC